CCAGTGAGGATGTAGCAGGCAAATTACTGATAAGGGAACCAGCTGATAGTACTGATAGTTCATCTAAAGCTGCTGAGCTAAAGGCTGCTGAGCTGACAGATCTGGCACACAAACATCTCACCAAGAGTCAATAATTTTATATCAAATCCCACATTTTAATGGCAGGGACTTCAAACAAACCTTTGCTAAGAGCATTTGTGACATTCTTCCATGAGTGGGGATGCTCCTCAAGGCCAAGTGAAAGAGATTTGCCCACAGTTGTTGGTATGGGAGAGTAACGTCCAGTCTCTACTTAATAATTATTTTACTGTCTTTAATATCATTGCTTCAATATTGCTTCAGAAAACAGTGCACTATGCTGGTAACTATAACTGTCTATACAGTGCAGTAAATAATTCTGATTAGGGTATTCTAATGTTTATTATTAGAATCATCAATAAAATAAATGATTAATGTTATTAATATAAGTATATCTGGGTTGCCATCCTTAATCCCACAGAACAAAGTAGTACAAAGCTGCAATTGCATCTATACAACCCTTTGACTAAATCTGGGACTAGGATTGGACCCAGCCACATCCATGCTCCTCTCTGAGGAGTTTAGAAGGACAGGGACTTTCTGCACCTTGTGACTCAACAGAAAAGCTTCTCCACTAAACTTAGTCCAAAGCTTCTTTCTGCTCACAGCATTGACCCTGAAGAGACAATACAAAAAACTTGCTCACATGTGCATTTGAAGTTTTAACATGGTGTAAATCAGACCTCATGTCAAATGGAAAGTGGTTAAATGCATTTTCCCAAGTTTATCATATTTGTCTTCTCAAACTTTTGCTATTATTTTATTTTGGTTTTTTTTCCCTCAAGTGTTGCATCATTGCACTTGCAGTTAGAGAACTGACCAAGGTCCAACACTGTGGCAAGCACACAACACTTATTAAATCAAATTAATTTATTTACATCCAGATCCAACTCAAACTACATCACAATGAAGTTGTTTGCTTCTGTTATATAACTGTATGTATGGGAAATAGTTGATTATTTTCAATGAAGAAGGTTTTAAATTTTACCACTTCTCCTTGGCTTTTGTTGCATGGGTTTTTTTGGCACAACAATGAAGTATCCTTACAATCCATTCTTCAGAATAATTGAATATTCACAATTATTCAATGCAGTATTGAATACTTTTCTTTTGCAAGCAATATACAGCCATCTATTTAGAGAGAGGAGGTCATGTTATGATGGGCCGTGCACATCACATCTTACCTCAAGTGTTTGAACAGAAATTTATAACCTTCTCCTTTGTCCTCCTTCGTGAATGCTCACAAAATAACCTTGTTCTTTCCTTTCTCTTGCACATCTTGGTATTGAGACTTACTGATGTGATTGTTTTGGGGAAGGAATTATAAAAAACACAGCTCAGGAAGAGACATTAGAAATGTGCACCAGAGTTTGAAAGCTTTTTATTAGATTCCAAGTAGGAAAACCAGTGATTTGATAAATGGCTTAAATGTATACACTTACCTCTTTATTGCCTGCATATATTAACCAAGTGTTAGCTAAACAGCCAATAGTTAGACAGACAATATTTTTTTTTTGCATTTTTAATGCCAGAAATCAGATGGAGTTATGCTGTCTACTGATTTCACCTTAAAACAATTTTAACTTGAAGAATTTGCTATTTTTCATATTAAGGTTTCTCTTGAATACTTCCACAATTGAGGCATGGTGGCTTGCATTCTTCTTAGGGAAAGAATATTTCTCCTTTGATGAATTTGAAGGCCAGAGATGACAAAAGAAACATTGGCAGTACCTGAAAGCACTCAAGTGGCAAAGCTATATCACAGCTCAAAAATTCCTGACTTCCAAATTCCTCTTCAGGCTTGTGCAAACTGCTACTGATGAGCTTGACATGCTTTACAGTCTGCTATACATTCACCTCCCACATACACCTTGAGTACTGAGCTACAGGCACAGTTTCTTAAGCAATTAAAAAGAAAAGTAATTAAACAGCAGGGAAGATGGACTTGTTATTGCTATTGAGTTTCTGTGAGGAAAAAAAATTGTAGATCCATAGTTTTACCTCTCCTTTTTAATTTATTTATATGGAATGAAATCTGATGTAAAGAGAATCTGTCCCCTTGAGATGTGTCATTCTGTCCCCATCTATAATGTACAAACTGGTAAAAGCAGGTTGGTGTACCAACAGTTAGAAAAAAAACAGATATATTCAGGAATCCGTGCTGCAGGCACCATCTATCTTTAGTATCTTAATGCTTTCAAGGGATGAAATACCTTCTGCACCACTATAAAAAGGCTGGGCTTCTGTTTGATATTTCACATGGCCAGTACTTGAACTATGGGTAATATTTAACCTTGGCCTTGTGATTAGCTTGAGAAACACAATTTATAATAAGGATCAAATTCCTTTTACCCTCAGCCCCCTGTTCTGTATTTCTAGGGATGGGGAACAGGAGCTTTGCTCTGTCCAGGAAAAATTTTATAGCACTGCAAGGGAACAGCAGGAGATCCAAAAGGCAGCTGTTTTACACAAGAGAGGAAACAAAACACTGTGTTCTGTGAAACAGGCCTGGGTCACCCCATGTGGTTTTCAGGGAGATCATGGAGATTCCCATGTGGGCATATAAGGGTAGACTTTGGGCCACAGTGTTGAGAAAACAGCTCTGATGATTTCAGCATGAACAGAACCATGATATGGAGTCCAAAGAATGCATTGAGACAAGCCAGGCTGAACAACAGAAACTTCTCTGAAAGGAGCACGGGAAAGATAATGATGGATACAGATTTAATAATAGACATTTATGAACACCATCCATGTTAACTCTTTTATATCTGTTAGGGACACAGACAGGGCAGGCAGATACCTGGGGTTCCTCAGTGTATGGGTGGCTGCTCTGTGCTGCCACTGGGCCTTTTGCTTTTTCCTCTCCAACATCTTTGAGCTCAATGGCCAGCAGCAATGGCATGATTTAAAGATCCAGTTGTCTCCCCTTTGCCACCCAGCTCAGGGATGGAGGGAATGACACAGGTTTGAGGCAAGTGGACTCCTGCAAAGCCCACCATGTGCTTCAGTCTCCTCAAGAACCATGAGAATGATTAAGTGAATTTTAAGAGCCTCCTGGTGTTTTTCATTCCTCCCTTCTGGAATTCAGCAAGTTAATAACTTCAACTTGTTTCTAGCCACATACATAAAAAGCACAGCAAGAGCACAGAAGCTTATACACATTGGACCAAAGGCCCCTCTGTTGTGGGATCCTTCTTCAGCAATCAACAAATGATCATGGGAATATGGGGTAAAACAAATTCCGTCCTCTGCCTGTGTGGAGGTGCATCTTCTGAACAGAACCCCAAAGCCAGTTCAAGGCAGAAACAGAATCAGACATTGGAAAATCATGGTGACTTCAGAAGTTTGGCAGACCCATCTGCTTCATCCACTGCAGCCAAGAATTATTTATCCAAAATGTTTAATACAGCAAAAATGAGGCTAAATATTTAAATGTCTTATGTATTTGCAATTGATATTAGTTTTCCACCTCTATTTAATGTTTGCTGCAAAGAACACTCTTTAAGTGAGCGTTGTCTTTCTCCTTAGATGGTAAAAGCACATGCAAATTATTTTCCCCTTAATCTTTAAATCAGCAAGTACCAGTTAGCAAAAGATGCTTCCGACTCTTCTGTATCTTCTTTGGGAACAAGTAGAGCACAGAGCCTCCCTGAGACTTCCCATCTTCTGCACAGCTTCAGCTGAGGAGCACAGGGGTTATTTGCAACCTCCTCTTCCATCTGCGTTTCATTGCACAGCTCTCAAAAGCAGGTCCTGGAAAGCTTGGAAATTTCACATGCTGTACTTGATGAGAGTGTGAGGATTGATCCCTTCCTTTGCACCAATGCACACAACACCTCTGGGCTCCCCTTTTCAAAGCCTGGCTCTGATGCTGCTGTGACACTTTGTCTGCAGCACTGCCCTCAGCCAGAGGGGCTGCAGCCCCTGCTAACCACGCTCAGCACGTAAATCCCTGCGAGGCTGCAGCTCTGGTTTCTCTGTCAGGAGCCCTGATTTGCCAGGAACTCAGCCAGGCTGTGAAGGGCAGGTGTGTTTTCCCCTCCACATTTGCTCCCCCGTTCTCTCATGCACTGAGTCCTGGCCAGGGAAGGACTGAGCAGAACATTGCTTTAGATAAGGGGGTCTCCATCTGCAGGCCAAGAGGGCAAAGGCAAATTGCCCCTCACACCAGTTCCAAACGGAAAACATCCTTTATTCTTCTTTGCCTCACAAAAGCCTCAACATCTTCAGAGCCTTTCTGCTTTTAAATTACCCTTGAACTAAACTTTGAAGTGAGCTGGGATTCCTGTTAGCCTCCTTCAGCTCAGCAAGTGCTTTGACTCATGGGGGTGAGATCTGTGTGCAAAGCATGAGTCCCACTGCTACAGGAGGAGCTCTTGGGTTCCAGCCTGGGGCAGGTCAGAGGAGGGCACAGAAACTACATAGTCACTCTCAAAGGAACTACTTCCACACTTTATTTCTTTGAAACTGGGGAATGTATGTCAGATGCCCAGATCACCCAGGATTTACTGACAGACAATTCTGGATACGGAGACATAACTGGTTTCTAAAAATGAGGTTTCCATCTGAAGAGGGTATTCCACAGGATTTTCAGAGTATTCCAGAGAATCAATTCACCAGCTAGATTCAGCTAGCAATAATACTACTGAGCTTTGATGTTACCTAACAGGATTCTACATTACAAGCAAGGTAAAATGTGTTTCCATTTCCAGAATGTAATCCAGGCATGTCTTCCTGGAGTTGTTCTGAGACTCAGTCCAAAACTACTGACTTAGAATACACACAAAATTACACCCAAAGAAGGCACTGGCTCAGGTATGAGAAGGTCTGGAGATGTGGGGATCATGACCAGGATTTCTGTCACCTTGCCTGCCCAGAGACAGCACCACACTACCATGATTATGCCATTTCTCTTCCAGGGAGGACTTGGCTGTGAATTTCCCAGGCTACCACCTGCATTCCACCCTGTGTACAAACACCATGTGCCCAGGGCTATCAGCAGCAGCACTGCACCAAGAGAAGAGAAGAGAAGACACAGCTTGGCTTCAAAAGGTCATGAGAACTCTGCAGCAAAAAAAGCATTGGGTGGAAGAAAAAACTTTCTGCTTTAAGCACTCTTGCAATTAAATCCTTCTGCAAAATACATGTTTTCTTCTAGTAAGTGGAGACTCAAGGGGTTCTGAAATTTCAATTAACTTCCTGAGCAAAAATAAATTAAAACTATCTAGCTCAAATTTTTCTTCATTCCATCCTGCAATTATAAGGAACTTTATCAAAACCACCATGTACAGAATAAGCAGTCCTTAAAGAAATTCACAAAAAATCATTGCTGTACCTTTATTTCAAATAAGAGTGAGTTGGATTTTATACTTCAGCAAATAAGAATATATTAATACATTTAGCCCAAAGACAAGGTCTTCTTATTTTTGTATTAAAAATATAATTGTTTTCTGTGTATTTTCCATCTAATTAACAAACAGACATTAATTAATGCATAATCACCATCAATTAGTCAAATCAGAAACGATGCACACCAAATACTATAATGCATCTTGCCCTTTTATTGTGTTGTATTATAGACAAAGAGAAGTACAGAATAATCAGTCTGGTACAACCATAAAGTTGCAGTGTCACTCTGATCCCTTTGGGAGTCAGACAACATCCACTTAATTCCACCTTTATATTGTTACAAGCTGCATATATCAAAACTCATCTGTGAGCAACCATATTTCTAAATGAAAGCATGAACAAAAAAACCCAGTTTTTGGAACAGGACTTTGCAAGGCTCTTTAGGGTACCAGCAGAATAAGCATGCACAATATCAATACCAAACCATAGACGTGCTGCCCCCTGAAAGGGGAGCTGAGCTAAACCTGAAAATTCACAGGTTCAGTGCTGGGACTCCATCTCCTGCAAAAAGCTGGCTCAAAAGCTGTGCATTACTTTGGTCCAAATATAAGTGAGAGTAAAGAAGCCAAAGGCTGGTATTTTGCAAGGAAGCTGTGTTAATCCTACTGCTTTCTTTGTACAATAAAATTTGGTCTATGAGGAAAACCCCTACTGCTCTATTGCCCGGTGCCACAGCAGTGTGATGCTACCAGAAGGGAGCTGGTGCTGTGTCATGCTGCTTCTCTTGTACACAAAACAGGTCCCAAGGACCTCTAAAGGGGTTTGCTGGGATACTACAAAGGACAAAGGGGATTTCTGATTTGAAATGCAGGTTCAAGAGAGGTTTTCCTTGCTGAGAACCACATGCCTTTCAAACAACTTTGGTGAAATACATGGCAACATGCTCCTTTGTGTTACTGAGTACGATTGCACATGAAATAGTAAGTTGGCAGTGGGTCAAAGTTCCCTATTTCCCTGTGTTTGATGTTGCAGACAAAATGGGAGAGAAGCAGTTTGGAAACATACAGATAGCTTCCATCCAAACTTACTGAGCAGGCTGAGAGCAAAATATCAAAACCGCCAGCCACCTATGGAAAAAACAGACATACTGAAAAGAATTAGTAAAATTACTTTGAAAACTACTTATTTTGGTGATCCTGCTCCCATATTCTGGTTTGTATAAAAGTTTTGAGCCTGTACATAGATGCTCGAGCTGATACACAGATCTCTACTTTGGGAATGATGAAAAATGTATTGTTATCAATAGGAACTTTCCACTGGGGCCGGTTTCTGTTCTGCTTCCCAAAATAAAGGAAAAAAATGCAAACAATGAGAAAGGATTTGCTATTCTCTTTTAAAGAGTAACAAGGCACAATCTTATTATCTACTACTACTACACTGCTTAAATTGTTTTGTTGTCCCTTGTCTCCCACTGCAGCAGGAATACGAATAACATCAGCACTATAACCCACCCTGGTGGAGTGCAGAGTCCATGCAAGAGCTAAGGACCATTTTGATAGAATTTAAGTATTTCCCAAAATACAGTTTGCAAGAGACTCCTGAGCAGGCAGGCATCGTGTAGGCTCTCTGCCAAAACTCTCTGTAGAGGCCACTTTGAGTGGTTCAATCCAGCATGTGATTTGCTTAATGAAAGACACTTCTCCAGAAGATTTTGGCAGATGCAATCAGTTCAACTGCCAGGCAGTATTCATGTGATTACAAATGTTACTGATCACATTAGATACTTAATAAATCTGTCCAAAAAGATCACAGCTACTGTGTGGCTCTGAAGAAATCAAAATTGTGAGACAGATTGTTGTGTTTGCTGTGCACTGGACTATTGATACAATTGGAGAACAAATCCCTTCCTTGGACCGCCAAGCAGTCAGTGATAACTATTAATTTCTATATAATGACAAGTCTGATTGTTTGTAAATGTTTATCTATGCATCATGGCAAAGTAGCTTCCTTTTCATGCTATTCTTCTATAAATACATAAAAAAAAATTGACTTCACTGGCTTTCACAGATCTATGCCAATTCACATAAGCCAAGAGGTTCGCCTGAGAGTCCAAGGACAATTTTTGGCATGAAATAACCAAAAAGCAGGATGCTATCATTGCATAAAACCCAAAAGCAAGATTTCGGCACTGTTTCTTCTCCTTGCATTTCAGCTGATGCAATATCACATAGACTTATGACAAACCACAACAAAGCAAAAATAATCTGAGCTATACCTGTTTTGATAGAAATACTTTTCCTTATGGTGGGACACAACTTGCACTCTGTATCTTCCTGTAATTTACTGAACAGCATATTAAAAATGAATATATGTCCATTGGCCAAATCGCAGTGCTCATTTCAGTGTATTGCATGGAAGCAATCACACAGGCCTCTCTTTTCTGCTCTCAGGAGGAGGGTTTCTGTCTGAAAAAAAAACCAAACAAAAACCCATGAAATCAAAGAACTGAATATATTGCTTTAAAAGAGTATATAATTGATTAGATCTAATCCCTCTGCACAGCAGTAGCCAAGGTGCTCTGCTGAGTGAAAAATCATAGTAGTTAGTGCTGGTTTTCATCCAGAAAAAGAGATGAAATGAGTATATTAAAAACTGAGATGCAGGGAGAGTATTTTTATAGTTTGAATGTTTTCATTTTCACGGTTAACTTCTAGGGAGTAGGCTGTCAAAATTATTAAAGTGTCCTTTATAAGCACTGCGACAGATTCTACTTTCAACTGCACTGCTCTGAATTCCTTCGTGGTGATTGATGGCTTCCTGTTGACGATGCCTTCAGTCCTATATCATTTAATTGCACCAGACAGCAAGTGCTGAAGAGCCAGTTGTGCTCTCAGTTACACTGAGAGCTGTTTCTCTAGGACAACTCTGAGTTGAATCCAGCTGTCAGTCTAACCCAGTTGTCTGAAACTCATCTTTCAAGGCAGATCTAATTCTGAGTGTGTGGTTCCTATTTCAATCTGAGTTAAATTACTGACAGTTGCTTTATTATCAGTACTCAAGCAAAACATTGAAAACCATTTCCAATATACATAATTTAAAATTACTTGCTGTTGTATTTGGAGCTCCTTAGTGGAAAAGCATTTCCAAGCTTTTTTTCCTCTGCATACAGGGGGGAAAATAATTTTAGATCTTCAAAAATATTCAAGTATCATTTAGTTAATTGTGATAAAATAAATTAAATATTTTGTGGATTCTTGTCACATTTTTGGAGAAAAAAAAGCTGAATCTTTTGCATGGCACCATTCAGAAGCCAATTTCTCACGAGTCTCAAGATTGTTGGTGCAAGGAATTCACATCAGCAAGTGCAATTGTGACTGAAGAGAAACTTCTTCCTGAGCATATCTTGCGGTTTTCACCCTGTGGTCCCTCAAACAGTTTGAAGACTGGCTTTGAAGAGTTTCTTGAGGAGATAAAAAATTAATTTAGTGGGCTGAAATTCACTATGAATGAGTTTCTAATGCAAAAACCCATTAGAGGTTGAAACCACTTGTTAAAAAATTATCTGAAAGCTCTGTGAAACAACAAGGTCTTCAGCCTGCTGGTGCTCCTCTGTCCTGATACCTCCTGACACATTAGACACAGCAAAGGGCTAATTAACCAAGGCATTTCCCAGAGGAGAAGCTGGGCACCCCTGTGTGGCTCCTGCCCCCCTCCTGCCTGGCTGGGCCAGCAGTCCCCCTGTCCCCCAGCAGTGCCCACTCTCTGTCATTCATTTCTCTTCTCAGACTGCCAGCTTGTGCAGGACAGGCTGTTTCAGAACAGCTTTCCCTCCCCCACAGCCCTATATCCTCCTCATCTCAAACTTTCGACATCCACCTTTGCATTAAAGAGGGCTTGTTCACATTCCTTGCCTGCTTTCACTTATCAGCTTAGAGCAACAGCAGGCACTGCTCAGCACTGCTCCCCGCTTGCACAATGAAATCCTGGATGAGTGAATGCTCCCATTGTTGGGAGCCCAGGAGAAATCATAGAATCATCTGAACATCAAACAGGCTTATTGGATTTCACAGTAATGCCAACAAGCTGCCACTGCTACCACAAACTCTGCCTGGGCGTCACTCAGGACTATTTACAGGCAGCAAGAGCAGCTCTGGGAGCACTCAATTGCAAACTGAAAGACTGTGAAAGAGAGATATCAATTACAAAAATTAATTGTGGCCTTGATGGCATTGGCTTAGAAAGTCCCTGATATGCAGGAGCAATCCTGCATGGGGCTTGCCCTTGTAGCAACAATTTCCAAGACTCAGGAGTAATTCAGCGAAGTTATTTTTGTGTCAAACTTGAGAAATTATAGCTGAGCCAAGCAACAGCAGTGGAGTAAGGATATGGAAGCTCTACCTGTCAGAGTATAGAAGGCCATAGTGTGCCATTTATAGGACCTTGGTTGCTATATTTGACTTTAATATCTCCACATCTCTCAATAATTTCTGTTTAACCAAAGCATCTCTGATAGAAAGCCCTTTGGAGTATCAATCCAAAGTCTGGGAAAGGTGTACAGTAATACAGCCTTTATTTACTAGTAGTGTTAAGTTCAATTGTCCAAGGATGGGTGATTTTACAAACAACAAGTTCTGTTTGGTTTTGTGATGCACTGCTCCTATGCCCCTTGCTCTGTAACACTGGGAGCTGTCTCAGGCAGTGCCTTGGCATGCCAGGCCTGTCCAGGTCCTCACAGAAACAGAAATTCATCTTGTGGCACCCCAGCACCAGCTCCTCCCCTTATATTCTGCCTCACCTCACCACAGCGCAGCTCTCTGGTGGCTGCACCCTCAGTCCACTCCCCAGATAGAACAGACATCACAGACACATCTGAATAGCTCTGTGGGTGGGACTGAGGAATTGTGCTGCCTCCATTGCATTCAAAAAAATCCTTAACTTCCCAGTTGGGAAGTTAACTATACTGTTGGCAGTATAAGAACCAGCACAGCTGCAATTGCACCTGGTCTTGACATGTCATGTGCAAGTACAAAACATTTCAGTTGACCCTAATCCAAACAAGTGGAACTCTGCTATGCACAAGAAGTGCCCAGCACAGCTGCTGTAGGTAAAGATCCTCTACTGACACTTTACCACTTAAGAGTTATTTATTATTACTCAAGTGCATGGGAAACTTTTGGAATGTAACCCACACTCAGAACTTTGTCCTAATCAGGTTGCTATTGATAGCTCAAGAAAGCTGAAGTCACTCCAAGTTTATTGTGTAGGGCCTGACACGGCTGCCCAAGGTCACAAGGAAACAAAGGCAAAGCTGTATAATTGCCTTATGGTTTGAGACACATCATTGATTTATGTCCCTTTGCTTGGCTTTGCTGGGAATGACAATTTGAGCTGAGTGTGACTGTAGAGGAGCAAGGAGCCCTCTCACCTGCCAAGAGGGACGGTCCTGCTCAAAGGAAGGAGAGGCAGAACAAGACATGCATGGAGGGGCTTTATTAGAGGAGAGAGACCTCCTGCCTCTTGCAAACTTCAGCAACAGAACCACTGTGGTAAATCCTACCCCAGCCAGTTTGCGCGTATTTACAAACCCACACTTGTATGAATTACCAAAATGGGGGGATTTAACACACCCTCATTTTGCTCACTGAGACTTTTGGAAACTATGAAGTGGCACAATCCCCTGTGTGCTGTGACAAACGCATGAAGAAATGTGCTTCTCCCTTTTCTGCACAGCATCCATCCAGGAGCAGGGGGGTGTGTGTGCTTCCCTTTCCTCTGCCTGCCCTGCCTGCCGCCTTCTCTCTCCCCTGCCCAGCCAATGGTCAGCCCACAGCTTAGGAGCGGTGTTGTGAGGCAGAGAACAAATTATCTGTCTTGTCTGCCTCTCCTTTGAACATTTTCTTTCCTTTTCCCTTTGCAGGGACTGTCTGAGGTGATTCCTTGGGCTGTTATGCAAGAAGTCAGACTAGACCATCATTCCCGAACCTCTGCAGACTGTGAAAAATAACCTGTGCTTGGTGTAAACCCTTTTGCCGGGATGGGAGTGAGTCAGCAAGGATGTCAGGTCCGCTGCAGGCAGTCAGGCGGGCCTGGCCACCGGGAGATGGAGGGGAGGGAGGGGAGGGAGGGAGAGCATCCCGCGGAACACGTACCCGCGTGTCCAGGCTGCGCGCCGTCCTCCGCAGGTCCTGCAACGCTCTCTGCATGAACTCGAACGCGTGGCAGTCAACGCAGGGCCGGCCTGCGGGGACAGCCGGGGGACATCGCTGTCACAGCGGGACACGGCGCTCAGCAGCACACGGCAGCAGCACTCGGCTGGCCAGGACACGCTCCACTCCCACCACCACACCTGCATGTGTGCCAGGTTGGGGCTGCCCGTACCTGACTCTGTGCAAATGCCAGAGGAGCACCTTGCTGCGTGCGCTTTTCTGAACGTGGCCCACGCTTGACTCTGCCTGCTGCTTCAAACCCCAGCCCTCCCCTCCAAACCGAAATCCTTACCCCTTCTCAGATATGGGTTAATTCTCAACAGATACACTGGAAATAGCAGTTTGCAGTGGTTCAGGATCCAGACAGGCAGGTCTGTTTTCACAGGAGCTCTTACAGAGCAGCTTGGCAAGGGACAATACCAGATCTGTATTTGCTTCCTTTCACCTGCTGCTGTAATTTTTCTCTGCCAGGAATGCAAAGCATCCCACTGGCTCTGCAGCTGCTGCCAGTGTGTGTGCACAGAGGGGCAGGGCAGGGAAAAGGCAGAGAGTGCAGGAGGAGGGGAATTGACAACTAAAATGGCTCACTTCTGAACCTGGGCATTTCTGCTCTGCCAGGATTCACCCTGCACCAGTCTCTGACAGTTTGAAGTTAATGATGTGCAAGTTTTCAGAAGAAGAAATTGCAGACCCTGGAGTTGATGCCGGGAGAATGGGGAAAGATGACATTTACTGATCACAGAGCTCCCATGGTGGGGGGAGTGTTGAAATCCTTGTCCTCAGGCAGCCACCTGTCCTTCTCCATCTCCACTCCATGCAAGTGACATCTCAGGGAGACCTGGGGATCAAGCTAGGGATTTAATTCCCAAGCTGTGAGGAGATGCAAATTCCCAGCCTCCATCACAACAGCACTGCTCACAAAGACTCTGCCTCTCCAGGCACAGGAGTAGTGGCAGGATGGTTTTGAGCATGCTTAAAGATACTCAACCTCCTCCTGATTTCAGTATTGCAGTAATTTAATTGTTTCCACTTCAGAGCATGAAACAGAGCCCTTAGAAAGAACCTGCATGCTCAGACTGCTGTCAGCAAATCCATCATTCGCTCAGTGTCATGCTCTGCTCCCTCCCCTCGCTCTGGTTTGCCCTGGCTCCACCTCGAGGAGGTGCTGCATGCCCTGAAGTGCTGACAAGCACCAAAATGTTCTCAAAATCAGAACCTCAAGGAGAAAAAAAAAAAAAATCAGGTGATAAATTAATGTCTCCTGCTTCTGCAGTGGGGAGAAAGCACTTTTGAGGAGAGCCATGCATAATCTGTCACTGATTGTCATGCAGGAAGTCTTCCCAGGGCTTTGTGAAAGCTGTGATGGGAGGGTTGGGTGGGATCATTCACTGGTATGTATGACAGCCAAGTGCTCCTGTGTGGACAGGGAGGTCCTAGTGGAATGGCATGACCATGCCAAGTGGTTATTTCACTTCTGCCAGTCCTGGGAGAGCAGCTGCCCTGATATTAAAGCATCTTCTGCCTGCCTGCATAGCTCTGAATCAGCACCTGCAAAGCTCCTAACACAGCACTGCCCTCCAAAGTCAGTGCACATGCAGCCAGTTTCACCACGTAACAGCTTATTCACTCTTTAATGTCATTTCTTGGGCTGTGCTCCGTGGTGGAGGGTCCTTCTCTGGGTCTGTGGGTCAGGTCACCATCCCTGCCTGCTGGGAGCCTGTAGCCAATGGGAGATACTTGAGGAAGATAGAAGAGTAAGTGTCTAGCAATGTTCTTCTAGCCTACCAGGGGGCTGGAGGATATCCTGTGTCTGTCTGGGGTTTCTACAACTGATAAGCCCTCCATGAATTTTTCTCACATTAATTTGCACTGTTGCTTCCTGAATCCATGAAAACTTTTGTCATCTGGAACATCCTGTGGCAATGAGTTCCACAGCTCAGCTATTCACGGAGTGAACAAAATACCATTCCTGTCTGCTCTGAAGTTGACATTGATGCTTTCATTTCCTGCCTCTAATTTTTGCAGTGGAAGAGACAGTTATTAAATAATCACCACCTTTGTCCCACTTATGACTTTGATGTTCTCCATCACTCTCTGCCTTGGTCTGCTTTCCAGAATGAAGAGCTGAGCTGCTAAGCTAACTTATCTAGATGGATTTGATCTCTCTTCATGCCCACAATATTTTCAGCAATGGTGCCCATGGACATTTCCCCAACAGAAATATGTCTAAGCAGCTGTTTTGCCAAAAAAAAAAAATCCAAATATGTGTTATTGCCAATAGGAGCAATCCCACTGTGCTTTCTGTCCTTGGCTATGGCATCTCACACTTCCACTTGCTCACAGCAGGAGTGACAATGCAGCTCCTCCATCAGCTGGATCACTGACTTTTCCCTCAGAGCAGATCCTGAATGCCCAAATTCTGGGGCCAGGACAAGAAACAGTGCAAGAAGAGGAGAACAGGTTATGGAGAGGAGAAGGGAAGAGGCAGCACAGGCTTACATCAGCTTAAAGCAGTCATGAAACCAAATCTTAAGTCACATAACAGCAAAGTATAGCAGAGTGCTATTAATTCCTTGCTGACAGCTGGAAACAGACTATCATTCATAGGGAGACTTAACAGGTCTGTGGATTAACATAATGAGAATTACCAAGAGTCAGCTATAACTCTTAAAATGGGTCCTGTCAGCACAAAGACTGTATGTGTCTTTGTGTTTTGGGAGAAGTGGGGGAAGAGAAAAAATATGTTTCTTGGCTTCTTCTTGGGGAAGATCTGGGACTGAAAGCACTGTGTAAGTCTAATTTACTTTCTCTTGCATACACTTGGTGTTTATTCTTTGTATTTCATGCACCTTGCCTAATGAAAACAGGCTGACCAGCTTCTGGTCTTCACATCCCATATTTTAGCTTTCACAGTGGGTGATCTGGGCTATAAATGCAATGGGAGGTTGGGGAAATAACTTTTTTTTGTTCCCTAGTGGTTTGCAGAGAATTTAAAGAAAATAATCTATGAGTATCAGCAGCACCACTTCAAACTTGAACAGTGTTTTGCATATGCTAAGTGCTGTGAATAAAGTATAAGGACACAATTAATCACTGCTAATTAGAATGATGCATAAAGAGCTGTGCCTGGCTGTGTGACTGGCAGGGAGCAGGGGATGGTGTCTGAGGCAGGTCTCAGTGCCTCACACAGGACAGGATCTCTGCACTGCTGAAGAGATCTGTGACTCACTCTCACGCTCCTCTCCTGTGACTTCTGCACCTCCCACACGGTGGGGAGCATTGCTGCCGCTGTCCTGCTCACGATGCTGCAGCAGGGACACAGTCCCCCTGCCGGGTGGGGAGAGGCTCTGTGCTCCATGCGGGAATGCCGCGCTAAGGGCGTGCTGCCAGTGCCATTCACACACCTGGGAACAGAGAAAAGCATCGAGCACTGCTCTGCCCTGCAGGAGGACACTAAATATGGCCATGTCCATCCTACATCCCTGTTGGGAACATGCACTGGAGACTCCTTTCCCCTCGGGGCCACCCAGAGTCCCACAGGCAGCAGTAAGGACGTAAGTGCCAGCCACAGGGACAGTGTGTGCTCGTGCTGTGCCCTCTGAAAGGGGCAGTGCCCACAGGGATCAGCTCCTTAGCAGATGTAGCCACTGGAGCATCAAGAAGGAAAGGATCCAGGAATGTCTGTGCCAGATCACACCAAAGTGAGGGCCTGACCCAGTGTCCAGTCTCCCATGATCTACATCTCTGGAGGAATATTGAAAGTCTGGGAGCATTCCCAAGCCTCAAGGGCATGGGATAGCTCCACTCTGGAACAGTCAGCTCTGTCTTCCAGACAGACAATTGGCCTCCTATCATGGACACAAGTGTGCCAGGCTCCATCCTAGCAGGTTACTGGTACAGCCAAGTCCCCGTGCCAGGGCATTCCTGGGCACTGTTATAGATGAGACCTTCATGGCAGCAATGGGTGCCTTGGAAAAGCATGAGAACAGGACAAGTCTGGAGGGATGCATTCCCAAAGACCCTGCCAGGTCTCAGGAATATGCTGAGCCAGAAGAAATGCCACTGTATCTAACAGCCCTTTCTAGGATTTTTTTTCCCTTGAATTTAACCAACTGGTTCTGCAACCTCACACGAACATTCAGCATCCACAATGTCCTAAGGGAAGAGTTTCACAGGTTAACCAGCAGGAAGAGTTTCATCAGGTTAACTTGACAGGCAAAAGAAAGTGTCTGGAGCACTTAGCAGCTATGCAACACTCTCCAAACAAGTGGCTGATGAGAAGTATCAGGAGTTCCTTGTGGCTTTAAAACTCTGTCCCTGCAGCAGCCCAAAACAATTTTCAATTCACTGATCAGCTGACAGCTCCTGGCCTGGTCTCAGACAGAAAGAGCATTTTGCTTTTGTAGCAGTGCTCACAGCCTCTGTTCCTTGGGATGGGGCCATGTTAGCACTGCCACAGAAACTCTCTGACCTGCCCTTCACTCCACACTCTTACGTTCAGGAGTAAGACAAGAGAAGGAATCTTCCTCAGGGGCTGTTCAGGGGACTCCATAGCCCCATTAGAGGGTGGTAACAAGATGGTAAAAAGACTCCTTGATACTGTAGGAAGGATGGGACAGTCTTTTTTGTGGGGCCTGTTGTGACAGGTCAAGGGGTAATGGTTTTGAAATAAAAGAGGGTCCATTTAAATTAGTTAAGGAAAAGTTTTTTACAGTGAGAGTGGTGAGGGACTGGCATGGGCTGCCCAGAGAGGTGGTAGAAGCCCCATCCCAGGAAATGTTCAAGGTCAGGTTGAACTTGACTCTGAGCAACCTGACCAAGTTGAAGATGTCCCTGCCCATGGCAGGGGGTTGGACTAGATGAGCTCTAAAGGGCCCTTCCCACTTTCTATGGTTTTATAATTCTGTGAGACTTGGGTCAGAAATCCTGGCCAAGAGTTTTGTTCTACAGCTCAAATGGGAGTTTTCACTACACAAGTAGAACAAGAAACCTTTGTAAACATTTTCCCAAATGTGTCAACTTGCCTGTGCTGACACAGAGAGTACATACAATTTATTTTCCAAGCCTGATTTTCTCTTTGAGGAGATAAAATGGACTACTCATCACAAAACCCGTTAGAATTAATGAATTCCTAGGAAACAGACACACAAAATAGCAGTGAGATCTGGTTTAGAACTGACCAAAACTTAGTCCTAATAAAAAAAAACGAATGGAAGAAGAAGGAAATTCAACATCTAAGTTCCATTAGTTCCATCTAATGGAATTAATTGAGAATAAAATGCAGTGACTAAATAAGACTTCATATTAAATATTTTGATAATCATATAAAAAGATAGCTGTGATACAAGGTAAGCATGACTAAGAACTAGAGATTTGTTTTTATGCAATTATCTTTCTTTGTTGTTTTGTGTTTTTTTTTCCCCTGAGGACATTTTATGTTTCTAATGAGTGTCTATTTCCCACTTGCTGTCACCAAGAGAACATTGACTCCATTCTCTAATAACTTTGAACTATTGTCTCATTTTGGAGCTGAGAGAGTTTAGAGACTTACTGAAAATGACAGAGGAAGCTCATATAGAGCTGTCATCCAAATTCAAGAGCTCCCAGCTCTGTGGTGTGCTCAATCCAGTCGGTCATATTTATTTATTTTTTAGGTTTGCAGGATTTCAGAAATTTATGTTTGCTTTCCAAATGTACTGTTTGGGTAAACAATCCCTGTGTTGATTTGTAGCAGCTACAAGAAAGTTGAACTTGACCTATTGTTCCAACCAAATACTAAAATAAACAAGATGCAATGCCCCAGCAGAAATGCAGACATTTTCTTCTAACAATTCTCAGAGTAGTAAGGACATCATAGGTATTGTGGCAAATCCGTGGTTATCAATTAAAATTATCTATTGAAATGAAACTCTCAAGAAGCAGATCTAAAAGACCTACAAACAAAGAGCATGAGCACAAGTTCAAATGAAAATTAGGAGTATGCAGTTAGCATTTTTTTTCCTTAAATAACTACTAATCCTTTGCTTGCACGCTGCTGCTGTGGCGTTGTTTTCACGTGCTTTGCTGCCGTGGCACAAACCCATCATCAGTCCCTCGTTAACCCGGGCTCCCCCAGAGCAGAGGGGTGCTGGGGCCGGCGGGGGAGGGCAGCAGGGCAGGGGGCAGCAGGTACCTACGTTCTGCGGGGATGGCACCGCCGGGGTCCCGGCCGGCGCCCACGAGCAGGCCGAGCAGCGACAGGAGCAGCATCCCCACGCGCGCCTCGCTCCAGGGCGGCAGCGCCATCGCTCTCATCGGCAATTCCAGCGGTCTTCCCCGCCTGCAACGAGGAGAAGCGGTGAACACCCGGCAGCCTGCTCCCTGCACGCTCCTCACAAGGAGCTGGAGGAGATGCGGTAAGCCCAGAGCCCGCGCACGCACAGCCCGCTCGCACGCAGCGCTGCCCCAGCAGCGGCTCGCCCGTACCTGAGCCTGGTCCTCGCCGTGCCAAACCCTCGGAGCAGCTCTGGGGAGCAGGCACGGCTCCAGCAGCCCCTGGGAGCATGCGCCCCTCCAGCATCCCCCTTCCCTGACTGGGGTCATTGCCATGGAGATTTGCTATAGCAACACGGAAAAATTGGAGCTGCCAAGCGGAGAAGAAGATTTAAAGGGACCACGGTGTGATGGATGGTCACTGCTGCGCTCCTCCTCTGCTCCCAAAGGACGTGGCATCTCCTCAGCAGACACTGGCTGCTGCCACCCGCGTAAGAGGGTTTTGGGCAATTTTTGTGTTTGCTGCTGTGATTCCCGAAGGGACTGTGCTGAAATACACAGCTCTCATCCCTTGCTTCAGCTGTAATTCACTTAAAGTGAGATTTCATTCTGCGAGGCATCAAATGAGAGAAAAACTCAGAAGTTTGCTTGGATAGATGAAGCTGCAGGGCCTGCTGATGGTACCCTGTATTTTGAGGAAGAGTCCATTATGGTCTTTGTTTAACTACAATAAAAATGAGGCCTTGGGGACAACAGCACCCCTGGCACATGGACCAACCACAAAAACAGATCCTGCACAGCATCACATTAGGGTAACCATGATAAGAACCCAGCCAAAACCTACACACTGCAAAAGTTTAAGGATGCTCTCTTCAAGCTCAACTTTTGATCTGGGATCTTTATTTATTTGTTTATTTCTTTATCTATTTATTGTGTCCTGACAAAGTTAAAGCAGGAAGCTTCCTGGACAGATATTCTGTGTAAACACCAAGCATTCAGACAGGGGAGGTGATACCTTTTGGAAAAGAGAAAGAGGTGCTCTAACACCTACCTGCTTGCCCCAGAGCACGATTAAAGGCTCATTTTGCAACATAACTGTTCAATTCATGGCTCTGTTGCTCTCACAGAAGGACTCTCCATCTCCTCTCACCAAGGAGAGGCTCCAGCCTTCCTGGCTTCTACAGAATAGCCACCCTGCCAAGCTGTGGAAGGATCAGTCTCTCAGACACAGATATAGTTTATCCTTGACTTTCTTCAGCCCTAGAGACTCTCACCAGCACTGCCCTCTGCTTCTATTTCACTTGTTCCTGTGACTTCTTCAGAATCACCTCTTACAGCCCTGCCTTCAGTGCTTGTCCTTTTGGATCAGGTTAGTTTAAAAACCCTCTCTAAGGACTTTCTGGCAAAGTGGACATGCTCTCTTGCTAGGGGGGCAGCCCAGAGTTATGGAAGTAATTCCCACAAGAATGACACACTGGCAAATTTTTAACCCACAGTGCAACTGAAACTCAAATTCCTTTGCATGGAAGGTCCAGAAAAAGGTCTCAGTCACTGGGATCTTCATCAGGTGAGTCCGGGCACACATATCCACCAAAATGTCTCCACTGGCTTTATGAGAAGCTGAGACTCCTAATCCAAGCTCTGCTGCTGGATGCCTGGAGTGAAGCTGTGTGAGATGGACCAGTTTTACATTGTTTGTCTCATCCCAGGCCTCCCTGGCCTGTTAAAGGAGCAGCTCCACAAGAGCCAGGGCATGAACAAACATTATAGAGCTTGACTGTGCAGTCATCTAGAGCTGGTCACACTGTCTAGCCATGATCTTCAGTTTCAAATAACATCAAATGGAAATTCTGGCACAAAATCCAAACCCTCACACTTCCATTCACCCTGGTATATGGGTTTCTTTCCTGTACCCTCGTTATGGTCCCATAGCTATAACCTACTTTTCATACATGAGTTTCAAGAAAGGGACAGGAAGGAATTACCTACAGGTGCAATAACCTTTGATGAGGTAGAAAGCAATGTTTGCTCTAATATTTTTTCAAGCTATCAATGTAGTCTTTTCTAAAATTATAACTACTGTGATATCTGCAGTAGGGCATTCTGTATCCACCACCTAAAGGGGTACAAGGGGAGTAAAATAAGGAAGACAAAACCCAAGGGAAGAGTTTCTTCCCTGTTCAGCAGAAGAGGAAAGTTAATCAAGTTGATGCCTTGAAAAGTGGTACAGAGCTAAGCATCTCTTTTATATACCAATGAAAATAAGGCAAGCTAGCTAGCATCACACAACTAATACCACTGAAAATGTTTTAGGGAAAAGCATTTAGCAGAAATTTACTTTGTTTACTGATGTCTGTAGGTTTGTGATAGTCCATTTTCTACGTTTTGATCTGCCTGAAGCTCTCTTTACTAAGGGCTATCACTAGACATACCACAGGAGATTGAAAGAAGAACCTACAACAGCCACCATTGGCAATTACTGCTGAGAGCTCAGGGAAGATGTGACTTATGCCAGTCTTGGAAAAGGATAAGTGAAGTGGCTTTGTTTAAAATGAGGAAGAGAACTGAAAAACTACACACAAACCAATTTACCATCCACCCCGAGAATGTTTTTGAAGCAATAATCCCACCAACATTTTGTAAGTGTTTGAAAAACAATAACTGGAATTGCAAATAAGAGCTATTTGTCAAGAATCAAGCCAAGCTAGTTTGGTGACCTTTTGTGACAGGGTAACAGACCTTGCAGATAAGGAAAGCCAAATTTAATCAATTTCAGGGCTGTGTCACACAGCATTGTCAGAAGCAAACTAAAGAAAACCTTTGAGGCCAGCAAAACTGGCTGGGTCAGTGCTGGGAGTTAGCAGTGGGTCACTGTCCCCATGGGGAGATGTATCACATCAGGACTGCAAAGACTCAGATCAGGGGTTACTCAGAATTTCATAAAACAACTGGATAATTAATAAGCAAAGTGATTATTAAAGATGTAACATCAGCCTGGAGGTTATAAGCAAGCCTGGGGGAGAGGACTAGAATTCTAAACCAGGCAGACAAGCTAGTAAAAATGGTCTAAAAATCAAATGAACTTTTATAAAAATGAGAACGAGGTGCTACACTTCATCAGGATTGATCAACAGCTCATATTTGGGATGGGGAATGGCCCATTAAGTGGCACTTGTGTAGTGAAGCTAGGGAGTCACAAGCTGAAATTGGTTTATAATATTCTGTCATTCCCCCCAAAAATACAATTATACTGGGACATACAAAAAATAAGAGCAAGAGCTTAGGCTGACTTCAGCACAAGGCCTGAGCTGCAGTGCTGGGTCTGGTTTGGTCATTGCAGTACTAGGAACTGTCAGATACACCAACAGCAGCAGAAATAACCACATTTATATGGCATCCAGGAAGCACAGCCAAAGCTCCTGGAAAACTTAATAATAATGAGGATGGCACTGGGATGGATTTCCTGCAGAAGACAGGGGAATATTTAAGCCTGCAGGTATAAATTAGACATCACTTGGGAATAGCATTGGGATAGTGGCCCTGCATAAAGACAAGGGAAGAACTGAGCAATTTCTTATTGATACTTTTCCCTTTCCCTTCTCTCCTAATTCTGTGATTAAGAATAATTTTGTTCCCCAGGCAGTCACTCCAGTTCTCTGTGTTGTAATTCCAGCACAAACACAGATACCCCTGAGAGAAATTCATTGCCCTTGTGCAGCATCTGAAATTCAGACTAATTATTTCTCCTTCTTCAGTTATCAGAGCAAAGGAAATGTTTTTTTCTCATTTAAACAAGCATGAAATCAGAACATTCCCATTCTGGGATGGGTCACTGATAAGGCAATTCAGAGACATTTGGCTGCAGGGCAGCTGGCAGGGCCCACAGTTTCTTAATCTGCCTTTAAACAAGTAAACCACAACCTTGCCAATAAATTAAGAGGTGAGAGGCTGGTGCACTATTTGACATTTTAGCCCATAAACAGAATAAATTATATTGTCTTTTTTTTCTGACAGCCTTCTCAAGCCTGAGAAGGACTGAAAATAAAATTACCTTATACTTACCTTCTCCCTCATGCTATGAGAGAATGATTCACCTTTGCTTGATGGCTCAGGATTTTCCTTAAACACTAAGTCAGAGGTTTGGCAAGGGGAAAAATCTCCCTCGTGAAATGATCAATTTGTTCTTGGCATCATTGCTTGACAAGTTCCTTATTTTAGAACTTCCTGGAAAACCCTTCAAGAGTCTGACCACAAGCTGAAGCTTGGTCAGACTGCAAGGCTTTGAGACACTGAAGCTGTCCCAACAAAGTTCACGTGACACTGCCAAACAGGGATGTGGCTGCAAACAGGGAGTGTGATGGAGACTTAGCACCAAGATCCTCCAGCATGGGAACAAGTCCACTCCAAGAGGCCTCTTTCACCACAGTGTGAGATGTGGGAAAGCAGCCAGGCTTGATCAGCTCTCCAAAAATCAATTAAAGCCAAGTGTGACAAGCATCTTTAAACACTTTCAAAAGCTTAGAACACTTTCAGCTATGCAGGAGGTGTTGTGTCATGCTGTTGTGAAATTAAGGTCAGTACTGACTTTTGGTTCCAAGAAAAAGTAAGAACCACTGGCCAAATACCATATTTCCTAGCTTATTTGTGAGGTTTCCACTGGACTGCTGGAAATCCAGCAGGCATCAGTGTGCTGGACATGAGATCAATTTACAGCATAGGCAAGGGCTGTGTGCTCTGAATGCAACCAGGGATGAAGCTGAAGTATTTCCCTTGCAATTGCCAATCTTATCCATGTCTAAGAAGACATAGGCGTGTCATTATTTACTTGCTTGCCTTGTGTGTAAAAATCCTTCCTTGAATTTATGTGTTTGGGAAGAAGCTGTTGGTTGATATTTTAAGTGCTGGGATTTGGGCAGGTTATTCCATAGCTACCAAAACTGGAGTGCCTAAAGACTGGCAGCTCTCTGCACAGCCTGTCTGTGCTTACAGAAAGGGCAGGTGGGGAGGGTTTATTATAGCTTAGGAAAACTATTGACTTCCTAGGATGTGGTGTAAAACTGTACATAAAACAAATGTGCAACATACCAGCTGTCAAAAGGCATTTAAACATTGTTCAGGTCCTGCTTCGGTGCAAGCCCAAATTGTGGAATTGTGCATTAGTTAAATTTAGTGCTGTTGGCTGAAACCAGACACGGTTCACAGGCTGCATGCTGTGTCACAGTGTATATATAGTTCAGGATGAATGCAAGAGCTGCTTAGGCAAGAAGCCTTGTGTAACAAATTTAGTGCATGGATGAAGTTCTGCTCTTTAACCGAGGAAAAAAAATAGCCCACAATGCCCAGAACTTTAGGAGACAGTTTTAGGACTGCAGATGACCCCCATGAAAGCCTGGACTTTAGGCAGTCACAAACATTGGTAACTCCTGGGCTTTGTCCTGGAGTTTGTGTCTCTCCCCAGACCCCATATTAAACTCAAATTGCCAGGTGAAACTGCATGCTCATCTTTATAGGTTGCAGTCAAAAGATTAATAGATACAACCTCACTAAACCTGTGGACTTTAAAGCCTGCTGGAATTAATGCTAAGGAAGATGCTAAGTTTAATCTGGTTCAGTGCAGGAGCCACACAAAATAACAGATTTTATTAGCCATAGTTGCCTAAATCAACTTCACAAAAGTAAGTGCAGATTAGTATTAAAGGCTACTTTCTGTTAGCAGATCTGTCCGTTAATTTGGACAAGATGAAGCTCTCTTATAAAGAAACGTTCCTACACTTTCTATTTTGTAGAAAACTCTCATAGATTAATATCCTTATATAGATCAAAATGTCATGTTATAAACACTTTAAGCACTTAAAGCTAGATAGTTGCTGTGTTTTTCTCTTTAACAATTCATATGGGTCCCTAACTGCACAAAAATCCCTGTGATGGGATTCCTTCATTTGTGTCTCTGTGTTGCCCACATTTTCTGCCTGCGTTGCTTTTGCATAGCCAAATACTTTATAGACTTTAGAAATAAAATAAAAGAATTGGGTAAAAATAAAGTTTTAAAAGAAAAGCATCAATTCTTAGAAACCATCTAACAATTAGATGTAGCTTGGGGCTGAGGCTACCATTCTGTTTGCCTGAGCATGAACATTAAGTGCAGCTATTAATGTATACACAGAGAATATTCAGATCCCTCCACATCTAAACAAGAAATTGAACATTGTTCTCCCTTGAAATCTGCATCCTTCTTATTCTGTGGAATGGTCTAACTTGCATCACCAGTCTTTCCAGCTGATTTGGACTCTCAAAGAAAAGTGAAGATATGAAGAATAATGGGAGGGTTGCCAGTCCTGCCCCATTTTTAGACTCTCTTGACAAAGAGAACAATCTATAGTTTTGTCACTTAAATTTTTCAGAAAAGTGCAGTGTCACTTGCTTTGATTTAAACAGCAAAAGGTGCTCAAGGCTAATGAAGACAAGCCGATGTCTTAGCAGGTTTTCAGAAAGTTCATGGTTCAGAGCAGGAATTAAATGATGACAACCCTGACTGGAAGGAAAACTGCAAGCAGATCAATGTAAGAATAAAATATCTGCAGATATTTGCATTTCTTCTCTCATGGCATCCATGCCTGGAACTCTTGTTCTTACGCTTTAAGTCACTTTTTAAACTTCAGGTGTTTAGAGGTCTTGAAAATATAATCTCTGCCACTTCCCAACTCTACAAAGCCACAGCTGGAGCAGCAAGATGGAGTTGGAAGGTTAAGGAATATCTACATGGAGATTAAACTGCAAACACATATAAATGAATTCTATGCTTGAAACTGGAGCAACAGGCCAAAATGTTTTACATTGTGATTTTTATTTAATAAGCTGACAATACCTGAAAGTGTGATGGCCACCTGAAAGTACAATTGACATAATTTCTCTGCCCCAGACAGCTTTCAGTGCAGTCACAAAGCAAGAGGCACCACATAATGTAGAACAGGGAATAAAACAGGACAGGGTTTACAGCTAGAAGGATTAATGAGTGTTCTGATGACCACATTATATTTGTGTGCAACAGTTTGGATTTAACAGGAACCTTTTGAATTTTGAGGATTAAAAAATGCACATCTTGTAGGAGGCACAGCAGCAGATTTCCAGCACCTGGAACTCACAGTAGGTCAAGAGCATCACTCTCATGTTTGCTCTGATCCTGCCTCCAGCAGGTTTTGTTCAATGCATCCCACTGCTGGTTTGCAAAGGGACAGCAAACAGCCATTCTCTGGTCACTTATGGTTTATAAGCTTCTGTCACCCTCTTCAGCCATCTCTTGACTAGACTGAAGGTTCCCAGTCTGTACACTGCTTCTGTTTATCCTAGCTCTTTTGTCAGCACTTTATATGGTTCTGCTGTATTCTTTTTCTCTATAAAAATGGTCTTGAGTCTTGCCACTCTGTCATATTAAACCTGATTTTACATACTCAGATTCTCCAAAAGTTTCCATTTGCACTTGCCCAGAACAGATATTCTAGTTGTTGGGTGCAATTCCCACACCTCCCTGCCGATGCTTTTTCAGCACTGGTGGCATATTTGCTGCTCTCCTGTCATTTGGGTGGTTTTGAACAAGAATTAATACAGAACAGCAATTGAATTAAAAGAGAATAGGTAAGGTGAACTTCAAAAGAGCATGCAAAAATCTCCACTAGGAAAATCCTGCTTGTATTGGAGCTTCTTCAGACTGAAAGGAACCTTAAGTTTTTCAGATTCTGAGGAAGAAAATGAGAAAGTTATTCCCCTTTCCCCATGTATCCCCATCCTGGCTGGATAAACAGCCCAATTCTGTCCCGTGTTTCACTTTCCCAGTTCCAACAAAGTGAATCATGAAGTAGAGGTGCAGCAAAATGACTGAAGGAATTCCAAATGGTCAGGTTTTCTTTTGTTCAAGCCAATGTCTGAACAATCACCAAGGGAAACATTCATTAAAATCTATAGGTGTTTCCATCTGGCAAACATGGCTGGGTTCTTGTCCACACCTGTAACAAGCCAGTGAGATTATGCCAGGCTGGGGGACAGCCCACAGAATAATTAATCTGAAACTGAGCTGTTCTGGGACTTTCTCCAAGATCTGCAACAGGAATGTTAATTTTTAGGTAAAAAGGGGTCCTTCCATACAATGTCTTCCCCGCACAGGCAAGTTCCTCTTCCCTGGGAATGAGATGCTGATGTTGCTCACACCATAGTCACTCACCCCATGGTAAATTGGTGTCACTCATTGCTCTGGCAGTGCTGCCAGCTGGACTAAAGGGGCTGCTGACCCGAGGAGTGTCAGCCTCACCAGCCACACCTGCAGAGGCACCAGACTGAGGGGCCTGGAGTGCCCTGAGAAATCCCTGGGATTAGGGGGAGGGCAGTGCCAGAATGGAAGAGGGAACTGAGGTTGAAAGGGAGAAGAGAGAAGACAGGTTCAGAGCAAAGCAGGGGAACAAAGCCAAGCTAGAATAAGATGGGGACAAGCCAAGTGCAGCAAAAGCCAAGGAGCTCTGAGAAGCAATTGTGCTGCAGCCAGGGCAGGACGAAGCCCTCCAAAGGAGGCTTTGCTCCCAGAAATGCTGAGAGTGCTGTGCCATGGATAAGGACTGCTGCCCCTTCCCCCTCTCTGGGAGGGGAGCTGCAGGTGAGGCTTGCACTGACTGACTTTGCCAAGCAGCCCAAAATGAGCAGTGCCAGTGCTCCCATGCTGTGTGAACCGACTTTGTGACAAACACAGCACAGCTGCTCCCTGAGGGAATGTGGGACAATATCATCAGCATCCACTCTCCCATTCAGACTGGGCTTCTGTGCTGGCCTGTGTCCTGTCACACACAGAAGGGCATACTGCACTTCTCAGTGTACAGGGATTGGTTTTCCCAGCTCTGGACAGGTTTGGGAAGGCACTCAGGTCCCTGTGGTGTTCCCCTGCTCCCCCAGCTGCTGTTACCATACCTACAGCTGCAGAGCAGTAGTTGTGCTTCCTCTCCCATCCATTTCCAGCAAAGTCACACCAATTTCTTTACAGAAGCACAGCCACAGGCAGGAACTTTCTTCCAAATTCAGCTGAAGAGAGTTTTACCTTCAGATGTCCCACCCATTCCCAAGCCAAGTCTCAATGTTGGAATAATTTGAGACAGCTCTAAATCACATCAGACAAATGCCAAGCACCTCCTCACAGCACTCAGCCTATTTCAGACTTGTGTGTGGACACAGTATCTTACAATAAAGGGGGAGAGGTGAGGATGAAACAATCTCAGCTTTCAGGTACAACAGTTGTAGGATGGACTTAATATGTGTGATATAATCTCTGTGTTTCACTTGAAGCAAAATAAAGCACAAGTCTCACAAAGAAACTTCCTGGCACTGCACAGAGCTGTCCTTCAATGTGATGCTGAGCAGTTGCAGGTGGCAGCATTTGGCACAGCTGGAACTGGCCAGGCTGCCTAGTCATACCCTGATTCTCCTTTTTATGCTGTCCATTTGACCTGTTAAAATAAAGGTAGTCAGAAATTCACTAGGTGTGTGAATGGGGTGTTAAGGGAAGGAGGGAAGAACCAAACATTTTAATTAAAGAACACAATACTCTTCTGCAGGACAACAGAGGGCTCAGCAGTGAGATTGAAACTGTTTTGGCCCAAGGGCAGCAGATGTGTAGCTCCTCATGACACACACCCCATTACAGCTGACAGAACTACAACGTGCCTGAAGGTGGGACAGCACAGACAACAAACAGAAAGGACTTCATCCTCTTTAATGCACAGGCAAAGCCTACAGAGACTACAGTGTCATGTCTCAGTGTAATTGGGTAAGTTGCCACAGACTATGTTCATATTAAAGACAAAAAACAGCTGCACGTGTGTCTAGGGCACTGTCCTCCAAAATTATCTCCAGCAGATACACTTGGCAAATTCTGATTTAAAATTCAAAGCAGGTACATTTCCCCCCCCCCCCCCCCCCCCCCCCCCACACCCTAATATCAAGTAACAGATTTGCTGAATTGAGCCCTTACTGGCAATCCAGCAGATGTGAAAAGAGGGTACTTTTAAAAAAATATACAGAACAGACAAATACATCAGACACAGGCCCCAGTTTCAGTACATTGGGGCATACATGCTTGCCACATGAACTCCATAAAGCTGTATTTTATACAGCTGCATTTTAAAAACTGCTGGACAGGTGAGCCTCCCCAGGGGTCTCCAGGATTCAGTTCAGCAGATTGGCAGCTACGCAGTCACACAGATTTCTCTTTTCCACCTGAAGAAGCAGAGTTTCTGTCTATAAGAGGGAGGAACAACATCATCAAAAAACAAATGTCAGCATTGTAAAACTAATTAGCTCCCAAAGAAAATTCAATTTTATTTTTATTCTACAATTTGGAACTAGTGGTATGAGGTGAATTTTGGGGTAACAATCAGACTTATTGTTTACTGCTCTACAAAATGATTTTGCTTTTGTGGTATTAATTGGCATACCAACATAGCATTACTTCCTTTGACATGGAGAATTATTTTTCTTTCTTATAATCTTATTTCAACAGCACAAACTGCTCAGAAATTCATTAGAGGCTTAAGCCCCCTCCCCACCCCTCCCAAATAATGTCAGAAGTTTTATTTTATTTAAAAACAGACTCCAAATTTAAAATTAGACTGTGACTGTCATTGAAGAAATTAACTTCTCATGTTTAACTTTCTCCTGATAATACGAAACTTCAGTAGTTGCTGATAACATGCTTTGGAGCCTAAAACAGATGAGAGGTGCTGAGCTGGCATGGAGCTATCACAATTCAAACACGAGATGAGATTCCTGGCTTCTTTAAGGAAATGGGTCCCAAACTGGTGAAAGCAGAAGTCTCTGGGTTCAACAGAGGTTCATCAATATCAGGAGATCTCTGTTGCCCACAGATCCCTGGTTCTGAAGCAACGAGGGTGGTTTGGGAAACTTCTGAGAGCTGGAGCTGGGTATGATCTGCAAGGCTGCACGCTCTCAGCCTTCCCTAGTGAGAGAGGGTTGGGGACCAGAGAGGGGACAGCAGGGTACATAAAGAAATTTGGGAATCCTTCATGTCTAGCACATACACACACACTTGGGTTTTCCTGGCTGTCTGGAGCACTTGTTGCTTCAGTAGCAGCATGATGCAGCAGATATGTTTGACATCAACATCATATCTTCACCTCAGTTTGTCTATCATGAGCTGAAGCTGTACCTGAAAATCAGGCTGTTCCAAGAGAATTCCCCCTTTATTGTCATGGGACAATACTGGGACTTCCCCAGTAGCTGTGGGAAGTCCACTCACCAAATTAACCCCCACTGGTGGAACCAGCTACACATGAAAATAAAAAAAAAGGCATTATGAAGACTACCAGCTCTAAATGCCAATCAAACCCATCCTTAATCTGCCTGACTTGCGATTTCTGTGTGAGATGGAGTTGCCAGGTGATCAAAGGCTGTGTTTTAAAAGCTGTGTTATCCATTGGCCCACATCAGCTAAAGGCACTTAGAGCAGAGCTGGGCTGAAGCATCCTGCTCTGCACTTGCCTTCTTAGTGCAGGAAAAGCCATCTGCTGCTCAGGCTTCTTTTTTTTTAGCCCAGATGATAAATCTCAGGAAAAAAACCACAACCCTGTGGTTTTATATTAAATCAGGTATCACTTTTGATTGTTTCAGCTGCCCTGCAAAGCTGAAAAGATCTGATCAGACTTTTCTAATCATTGAAAAGACATTCAATCACCACCTTGTCACCAACTCACTGACATCATTTGCCATGGTTTGAATAAGGGAGGTTGACAGCATGCCAACATTTTTTGAGCTGAGCCCCAAGGCTGCTTACCATCTTATATATCTTTAATAATGTTTTCAAGCCTTTCTTTTTATTTTCAGGGACACATCTAGCTTACTGTGCTTTAAGCATTCTAAAGAACCACAGACAGTTTGTAAAGCAATAAAGAGCAGTGGTTGTGGTGGGAGCAGCTCCCTCCCAGCAGCACAAGGCTCCTCTCCCCAGTTCATGATCACATAGGGCACTTTGGCTGAGTGGTGAACCACAGATATTCCCAGAAAATACTGCCCAGAGTTAATTCTCACTGCCAAAGCAACTATTCCAGTCTGCTCTGAGGGACCAGCAGCAACAAAAAGCAGGACAGAGAGGGGTAAACAGATCTGAATGTAGAAATCAGCCTGTCAGAAGAGGTCTGTGACCCTTATGATGCAGCCAGCCTGACAATTAGTGAGGGACCATCACACCAGGGCAGGTCACAAACACAGCCAGTTTGGAAAGGGAAGGAGATCCACACTATGGCCTTCATGAAAGGGTCTGTGACCTATGCCAGAGTCACTTTGCTGGGAGACACCATGTAGATCAACCCAGGGCCAAATGAAGTGTGAAAGCTCTTGAGCAATATTCTTGTGCAATAAAATTATATACAGGCTTCCCCTGTACAGAACTGCAGGGTAAGATGTGCAGGAGGAATTAAATGAGAATTTCCTCTCTAAGCTTTTGGGAATCCCTCCCCCTCCAACACAGTTAGGAGCTGCTTAGTCATCATCTAACAATCTTGCCTGCAAACAAAGGAGAGTTTTTCAAGGAAATTAATGTCTCCAGTGGGAATATTAACAAAGGGAATTGTATTTTCAGGGACAGGAATATTTACCCCACAAAGCAGCAAAACAGACTAAAATAGTCAAATGTGAAATATATGTAGCTGAAAGCAGTGGTCCTAAAACCATCAGTTTGCATTAAATTGTGCCACAGCTGAATAATAAAAGTAAGAATTAAAATGCCCTAGAAGACAGTTCCAAGAAGTCCTCAACTGTTAAACATTTCCATGTCTTTTGAGGACATAGGCAGAATTCCTAGCTTAGTGACTGGAATAGGTCTGTTCCAGTCATGGGGAGCTGAAGGACTTCAATATGAATTTAATTATTTAGATTTTAAAGTGATAGGTTTGTTTTCATGGGAATATATCACATTTTCAGGCTTGCTGTCAAGTCTACAAGTGTGAAAGCCAATAATAGGATATTAATCTCAGCTGACTTTTTTTCTAGCGTCATTTTATCTCTTTGGCTTTTATTTTTAGTTTTTGAAAAGTATTAAAACACAGTTGCTATCTTTGGGGTTCTTGTTGCTACTTCTGTTTTGGACATCTGTGTTTTATAAAGTTTTTCTCTTGGTCTGCAAGCTGAAAGTTTCATAAAGGTCACTGCCATAGCCAGACACCCAGAGAAAACTTCAGGAGATTTTGCATCAAGATGTAGAAGTTCTAATGAGAAGTTCAAAGGTTTGTAGAAAGAAGAGGCATGCTAGAACCACTTTACAGCACAATCTGAACATCTTGTTTGGGCTGCAAAAAGTGCTCAGCAGATTCATTAGCAAGATTTCTTCATGAAGCCCAAAATATATTTGACCTGTAATTATTGAACAGATTTTGTTTAGCTCTAAATGTGCTACATACCAATCTGGTTCTGCTGGAATGTTTGTTTATTTGTTGTAGTAGGTCACAATTCAAAGCCTCTTCATTAATGCATTTGTATTTTCACTAAACATCAAGGACCCTCTTGAAGTAACCTCAAACCGTTCCTCAAAGACAACAGTTCACAGCCTTTGACCTGTGAACAACCTTGACCATAAATCAGAAAAGCAGAAAAGTTTCAGTGCCTTCTGTTGAGCAATCTGTGCAGGAGTGCATCTATAGCCCTTCAGCTAAAGGGCACACAGGAGGTGGGGACAAAGCCACCCTCCTGGGACACCTCCATCTGACAGCAGCTGGACACAGGCAGGCACAGATTGCAGCTGCAGCAGCAAGAGACAGATTCAACACCTCCACAGAGGGCAGGTACCACCCCTGGCAGATTCTGCACACTGACTACCACCAAACAAGTTTCATCCCCTATGCTGTTCTACTTTGTGGCATTTTTCATCATTATGAAATCAGAAAAATGTAAAAGCTCTCTATGGATGAGGTTTCCTCCCTTAGCTGCTCCCCAGAGATAAAAGTATGTGCAGGGGAATATTTTATTTTAGTAGGCTTTCCTTTTGGGTAATAAATATAAATTATACTCTCACCTTATGCCCCTTGACATGAAACCAAAGGTGTGTGCTCAGCATTTGGAGTGAGAAAAGCAGCACTAATGGCTCTAATTTGGCAAGAGAAGGGTAGTTAGTTCACACTTTCCTATACTTTGTATTGTCCCTGATACCCCAAAGCAGAAGAATTCCATGGATTATTTCATAGAGAGGAGAAATGTAATTAAACAGCCTCACCTTAGAACACAGGACAGCACAGTTCACCAAGTGTGCAAAATCTATCCACCTTATCTACTTTTATCCAAGAATTTTCTTTTACATTGAAGAAAAAAAAAAAAAAGACATTTACTGTTTCCTTACCCTTGTGTCTAGATTATATGCTGTCTTCTTTAAATCCTGCAGAGCTCTCTGCATGAACTCAAAGGCATGGCAATCAACACAGGGGCGGCCTAGGAGAGCATTCAGCAGAGAATCATGACTATATGGCATGAAGAATTAACTAGAAGGATTAAACAGTGATTTTGAGTATCAGAAAGAGCTACAGAAAAGAGTCCACATGGTAAGTACTGATGTTGGTACTCCTGAACAGCACAGATAATTTTAACTGGTTCACTGTGATGGTCCACCCAGTCTGTCAATTATAAAAGAATTACTTCAAATTTACATTAATATTTTTCTTCCTGCTATATTGCTGTTCCTCTCTTCCTTCCACAGCTCATTGTATGGAAACATTAAACCCTTAACTTGAGCCTTTCATTTTGCTCCACTAACCCTGGGTTTTTCAACTTTATAATCAAATTTTCAACTTTAAATTTTCGATTTTATCATCAGATTTTTCAGAAATTTTGTCTGAAAACATGAACCTGTTCCCTAGAGAAATCTTGTCTCCTGATCTAAAAAATGTGAGCTCTAAAAAGAAAACTAATGGAATAAAACTGACAATATCATAAAGACAGACTACTTCAGCCTCTAGCTTTGAATACGATACAGCTTTGCCCAAGCTCTCAGCAGGCATTGCTGGTAAGCAGAACTGCTGCAACCTGGATTTATTGGAGTGTTCCCAGATCAAGACACTCAGACTGAAGGGCACAAGGCTTGCCTTGCCTTGATCACCACAGAACACAGATCTGTGCCCCAGCAGGCAGCAAATGCAGACAGCACCAAACACCTTGAACTCATCAGGCTCATCTGCCCTCGTTTGCCTCTCGTGCCTGTGCCTGGCTGACAGCCTCACCAGAGATACTGCACAAGAGAGAAATTCTGAGCCCAGGTTTAGTTTGCTCTTTGGGGTCTGGTGTGAATGAAAGGATGGAATCCAGGCTAACGTTGGAAAATGCTGCTGTGCCTGTGTCCTGTCTGTAAGCCCATTTTGCCAACACTTGATGTTGGACTGTACATGCCTCTGACATGCTGGACAATGAGCTTCCAGTGATCTGAGTGCTAACCAGCAGCCAGGAATTCTGCCTGCTGGAGAAAGGGAGCCTGACAAATTCTTTAACTGGCTAAAAAAAAAAAAAAAAAAAAAAAAAAAAAAAAAAAAAAAAAAAAAAAAAAAAAAAAGAAAAAGAGATAAAACCCCCACACTAAACAGTATTAAAGACCAGCTCCATCATTGCTGTACCATCACCCAACTTCAGTGCTACTGTATCTACACTGGACAAAAGAAAGGACAGTAATTTTTCACATCAACAACTTGCTGCAAGGGCCAGTCATTATGCTTATAAAGTAAAATAAACTCAACACAGATCAACAACGGAGAATTAGATGGTTGAAGGCCCCAAGACTAGGTGTTGAAAAAATGCTTTCTTGGCATCTTCATCGTGAATTTTTTCTACTAAAAATTCATGACTTTAAAACAGCAAACATTCTCAAGAACAAAATATAATGAACAGAGAATGTCAGTTGAAAAAGAACAAGCCTCAGTAAGGTCTCTGAAAAGCAAACATGGTGATTGCTGGTACAGAAAGGGCTAACACAATGGGCAGAAGAAAAGGTGCAGAACAGTGGCAGATTTCAGCAACAAGCAGAGAGTGAAGAGCTTTGGATGCAGGAGCAAAACAGCACTGGTAGATTATCAGGTTGTGGTTTTAAAACAATGTAGGCAAGACATATCCAAAATAGTTTGAATTAGTTGGGCAAACTTCAGAGTGCTGCAACATGAGAACTGCAGTAGGGGCTGTGGCAGAGGACTGCAGGGTGGTACATACTTTCAGCTGGTATGGCTGTTCCTGCTTCTTGGTCAGCTCTGACAGGCTCCGTGACCAGTAGTGCAACCACAAAAACAAAAGGAACTGTAAGGATGGCTCTCCTCAGAAGGCAGGGTGACAGCATCTTGGGAAGGGGTGCTTCTCTCCTTGTCAAGGGACATAAACATGTTAGTGAAGGAACACTACAGATACACAAGGGTTTTTTTACAAAGATTTTAATGTCCCCGATGACTAAAGCATTGTCAGTCTTCCTCTGAAAGACAACAAAATACCAGAAGGTTTAGAGCATGGAGAAAAGTTCTCTGCACATTTCCAGAGTGTACATAAAACTCAACTGTGAGAGAACATCCCTACACTAGATAAGAAGTCCCTAGAGTGTCCTTGGTTTCATTTGAAGGTAAGGATGCCAGCAGCTTTGCCTGATCTATAAATTTTTTCTAACTATACAGTTACAGACATGAATCTGGAGAGCTGGTTCACTATTATACTTTGAGATCAAAACTTCAGGGATTACAGAGCTGGCTGAAACAGAACCTGGAAACAAGGTCTTTGGCCTCTGGCTTGCTTTACTGCATCATCTTCTCACAAGTATAATAACAAAAGGTAACCACTAGCATTACACAGCATGCTAATTATAAAAACTCCTTTATGAAAGTATTTGAAGGAAAAGACTTTTGTTAAACCTCCACAAATTCATAGGTAGAATTTCTAATGGTAAATCCATCAAAACTCTTTGGCCTTCTGTTTCCCCTCCTAATCTGGGCTTCAGGCCAATATTTGCAGCCATCCATTTATTCTTGAACACCACAGCCAGGCCACACCATGCCCAGACCTTGGTACAGCTTGGTCCAGCAACAGTTTCCCTTCACACAGAGGCAAGTTTTTTTTATAAATTTTAAATTAAGTATTCTCTTGGCCCAACAGATTGCAGCCACTTGTTAGAGACTTCAATCCAAGCCTTAAGGACTCTGGCACACTGCTAGGCAGGTCCTTAGCTCAGCCAAGTTTACCTTTCATTCCTGTATATCAAAATGGAAGAAAGACAGACTAAAGTAAGGGCAATACAATAAAATCCACATAAAAAAATCCATTCACCTAACTGTGGTAAAGCAAGACAGCATCCTGCCTCTTTTGGATTTTCAAGTTGGTGCTTACTGAGCAAAAGATGTTGCATAAGAGCATTAGATCTGCATGTACTGAATGCAAGAGTACAGCACTCCCCAGAACAGATTGTATTTCACATTTAGAAAGGCAGTAGAGGGAGACAGGAAAGGGAAAGGTTTTCCCCATTTTGCCACAAACACAGAACAAAACTGTTCTTCAATATGTGCAATCCACCTTTTCAGACACAGCTAAAGTGAAGCTGCAAATTCTGCACGAACCCTTGCAGCATGTGCAAACCAGCAATTCAGCCAGGGAAGGAGCAGCATTATACCCATCCCCTTCCTGTGCACCTCAACCTAAACACAAGAGTGGGGAATGGTTCAGAAGCAAGAGATAACCGTGTACAAGTAGAGTCACAGATATACTTGAGCCCAAGGCAACAAAAAGATATGGTAATATAATTTCTATACCCTCATATTGGGATTCCTGTTGCACCCACTATTCAGAGCTGATGTGATTTTTTTTTTTTTTTTAATCTTTACCATACCTAAAATAAAGGGATTAAAATCACTACAAGTGGCTTGGTTTTCTGTTTTAATTAACGGTAACCTGCAATCAAAACAAGTACAATCAAAAATACCAGTCTTTGCAATAGGATGCAGCAGAGTGTCTCCAAGTAATAGTAAATTAGGACACCACCAGCCTCTTTTGGAAGCACCTGATGAAGAAGCCTCTGGTCAGTAGGAGCAGAGGCTATTCTCATGGTTGACTATGAGTACAATAAAGGTTCAGCTAAACAAAACAGACACACTGTTAAACTTTCTTTGGGTGCCTTACCCATCACCCACCCCAGAGTCAGCTCAGCTTCGTACGTGAGCCCCACTACAAAACAACTGCTCCTCTAGGGCAGCAATCATCTTAAATCACACCTAACTCCTGCCTCTTAGTTATTGCATGGGAATTTGCAAGGAATAATCACAACAGGCTTCAAGGGTGGTCGCTCTCTGCCGTGCAGCTGGGAACAGAGACAGATCTATGCATGGACTTCTAAGAAAGAGAAAAGTCACCCCCTTTAACAAAGGAAAAAATATCAGTACCTGATCTTTCTCTTGTCTTTGTGATGGTTTCTTTGAAATGGCCGCTGCAAACTGCTACGAGAACAAGTGCAGCATTTCTGAGCATGTGCACTGTCTCTTTTTAACCTTCTCTGAAAGAGGTTATTACTATGGGGAGATTTCTGCCATGGCAACAATGCAGAGCACTGCAGCACGCAGCGCAGATTTAAAGAGGCACGGCTGTGCAGCCCATGTCTGGGAAAGGATGTTCCTGCTCTGACATGCGAGATCCAGCAGTGACTCACCTGCTCTGGGTAAGGTTTTTAAAGCCAGGCCATTTGATTAATCTCTCTTGAAGTCTGCTGAGTGGTTTTCCTGAAGTATGAGCAGCCGGATGGGGCACCTGGTTCCAGCAACTTGCTTCCCTAGAGCTCAAAAATAACCACAACAAACTACATCTGCTTTATGGGAGAGGAGGAGAGAGCAGGGATTGCACTCAGGAGTTGCTCAGTGCACTGCCTGCCATTTGAGTGGTTCTGACTTACAGGGGGCATAAGCACTCATGCCTGCTTTCCCAGGTGTTTCTGTGATTCTAGTCCCAGGGCTGCCAGGAGCAGCTGCAGCCACTAAAACTCTGAGTGGGAGCTTGAGCCCAAACTCAGAACCCTTCTTTTCCAGCCTGCACTTCTATCCCCCTTTCAGTGCCCTGTGAGCTGCACTCCAGGACAATGCTGACTGTACTTGTTCTGCGTGCAATAAGACAATGGAATGAAGATGATAAAAGTGATTTTGTCAAATTAAAGCTAAGTTCAGGGATTGCATCATCCCCCCAAAACCATATTTCCCATCACAAATTGGACACTAGCAGTGCTTGTTTCAGGGAGAATGAACCCAGCTGAGGGCAGGCACAGCACTGAGGAGCATGCACAGACTATCAAAAGGACTGTGCACTGTGTTTGCTTTAGCTGGTTCAGTGGAGATTCAATCTTCAATAATTTCATGGTGAAGGTTGGGGGCATTCTGTGCCCAGAAAGGTCAGGCACACAACCTTTTTTTTTCATGAGGAGAAACTCCTCAGAATTATGAGTGAATTGCTGGCTAACATTTTTCTTTTCAACTTGCTCTATATAACCTGTCTGTCCTGTATAGCCCAAGAGGAATGGCTTGCTCCCATTAATTCTGGTAAGTAAGTAAGAAGCTAAAATCTCAGCTTGTTCAGTGTGTAACTGTGCTGCTGTATGATGTTACAGCATACATGAGCAGACTCAAGAGGGGATTCATTATAGTAGTGCCATCTTTATAAATCACAAAAACAGAAATCAGGGGAAAATAATTTTTAGAGACTGTTCTTTTGGGAAAACAGGATTTAGCATTACAGAGATAGCCATTTGGTCTGATTTAGTATTTCCCTATACATAAATTACGAATGCTAAACTTTATTCATGATCACTCTCCACTCCCTAATCTCATGCCTTGGCCTGTCTTCCTGATAAATAACATAGATATTCATATAGACACACATACACCACCTGCCTCCCTCCCCATATATGGATTTTCTTAGCCTGATCGTTCCCAGTAAATATGTTCTCCTGAATCCCGTGTTTCCTCTATCACAACAGTAACACCAAGCAGCCAGTCCTGGTACCTTGGGTGTTATCACTGATTCATTCTTCTAGACCCATGCAATGGGCTTCCAATTCCACTAAATAAACTTTAAAAAATCTGTTTCTGCCATTGAGATGCTAAATTGCTTGCTCTAAGCATCCCATACCAAGTATTGCAATGTTTCTTCTTTAGCCTTACCTTAGATCTATTTATCCTTCAAGGAACAACTTTAATTTCAGTTTTTTAAATACATTTCCTCTTTATTCACTTCTCTCCACTCTGCACTCTGTTAAGCACCACTTTTTCTCTCTACTGAAGCTAAAATTTTCTTAAGTGGAAAATATCAATTTACCAAGGAGGAGATCTTCCATATAGAAAGGAGGTAGAGATTCCATTTCAGGACATTTTTCATAGAGTCATAGAACATTCTGAGTTGGAAGGGACCCACAAGGATGATCCAGTGCAGCTCCTGGCCCTGCACAGCACCATCCCCAGGAGTCCCCCTGTGCCCCAGAGCTTTGTCCAAACACCCCCTGAGCTCTGCCAGGCTGGTGCTGTGCCCACTGCCCTGGGGAGCCTGTTCAGTGCCCAGCCACCCTCTGGGGGAAGAACCTTTTCCTGATCTCCAGCACAAACCTCCCCTGGCACAGCTTCAGGCCATTCCTTGGGTCCTGTCCCTGTCACCACAGAGCAGAGATCAGTGTCTGTCCCTCCTCTTCCCCTCTCAGGAATTTGTAACTGCACTGAGGTCTCCCCTCAGTCTCCTCCAGGCTGAGCAGACCAAGTGCCCTCAGCCTCTCCTCTCACGGCTTCCCCTCAAGGCCCCTCACCATCCTCATGCCCTCCTCTGGAAACTCTCTGATAGTTTAATGTTTTTCTGACATTGTGGCACCCAAAGCTGCCCCAGCACTGGGGTGAGGCCGGTCCAGAGCACAGCAGGACAATCCCCTCCCTTGCCTGGCTGGAGATGCTGGGCCCGATGCCCCCAGGACATGGTTGGCTCTCCTGGCTGCCAGGACACACTGAAAAATTCTGTGGTTTTCAAATTTTTATTTGGAAAATGTTTTTAAAAATATTATTCTGATAATTTTCAAATTTTGATAATTTCTGCCTTTCTGATTCAGAATTATTTGTTTTATAAACTAAGATTAACACAATAAATATTCATTGCATGGTCTGTTCATGGAAGTGCAGAGTAGGAACAGTTCTCATGTTAAAGTTATTGGGGCACAACCCCAACAGAACATTGTAAACCCAACGAAAGCTTTCCTTCTCTTATATCCCTCATGCAAAAAGCACAGGCCACAGATGTGCTAGCCCAAGGACACCTGAAAACTGGAAGTACAGACCAGGACTGGAACTATTCAGCACCTGCACAACACCCTCAGTGGTGATTTCACTGATGTGCCCAAAATTGCAGTGGTGCTCATGAGGCACCATGGGTTGAGTGTGAAAAGTGACATTTGTGTGAAAGCTGGAAAACTTGACTCCAGAGCTGCTTTCCATGAGGAAAGCAGAGAGAATTTATAGCTTCTTTTCTATAATGAAGTTGAACACAATAGAATTTTTTTTAAAGATCCCCACCAGCTAAGAAACATCAAAGCACTGTTACTGAGATTTCATTTTTTCATCTTGATAGCACATGTCTTGATACTATAAATATGTCTGTGGGATTGGAAGAAAAGCTCAAGCCTTTACCTCTAAGCCTCTTCACTGCTTGGTCTCTCCTTGGCTCTTAAATCTAATATCCTGTCACTACAGAAAACTTTCTCCCTCACTAAAGAAAACAGATTCTGTCATTTCTCCTGGAGACACTTTTATGTTTTCTCATAGCCTGCCCCCTAAATCATGGCAAAAAATCTCCCCACAAGGTACCATCTTGTCTTCTATCAAGCACACTTTTATGCTTTACCTCTGCCATGAATCCCACAAAGGAAAGCCTGGGGATGAATGTGGCTGGGGCTGTGGATGCCATGCAAACATGTTTGTCATAGCAGGATGTCCCTGCCCCACACCTCTGGCTGTCACCCCTGTCACCCCCTCAGTCCTGGCTGTGCTATCTCAAGGGCAGGGGCCGTGTTTGCTCTTGTTGGTACAGCACCACAAGGCTGGAGTGGTGATAGAGGGCTGCAGGCACATGTGAAGTGTAATAAAGTCAAATTACCTCAAGCTGGTCTAATTCTCCAGCACTCTGATATATGAGCTATTCACAGAGCAAGCCTCTGATTCTTTTCCTTCCAGTGTAAAGCTCTCAGGATGTGTCAGAGTGACCGAATTAAGAAGCAAAGCCTGCCTTTGTTCCCTGAACAGGTCTCACCTATCTTGGTAGCAGCAAATAATTGCAATTGTTCCTCCTTCCATTTTCCCCACCAGTAATTTTAGGAACAATTTCCTTGTCACTAAATCCAAATCCCACAGTCCCTATCTGTCAGAGTATAGATCACCTGAAGTCATTCTAGGATCCAAAAATCTTGAGTTTCAGCACAACCCTAAGGCTGGGCTCACATCCAAGTCTGACTTTCCCACACAGATCTTAGGGAGACCTGCACTGTCAGAACTACTTACTGCTTTTTGGATGAGATGCTAAATTGGGGTTATATCTTCCTACATCTCTCTGGGAGCTGAGAAGCATCTAAAAATCCCATGGCGATATTCAGGAAGGGTTATCATTAACTGAGACATCCTTGGCTTGCACTCTCCCTGTGCACCCTCCTGCACACACATCTCTGGGGAATAAAGCTATGCTGGAGCTATTTCAGGGTATATAGGACTTGCAACTTTGACTTGTTTGCAAATTCCACAGGGATGTCTTGAGTACTCTGCAGCAATTAAATATGCAGGCACTTGAATGGGCTTTGAACTAGAGGGGAACAAACCTCTTACCTCCCAAGCTTCCCAGCCTGGAACCAGACTTCAGAGTCCAGGAGCCTCTTCTAACACTGGAGAGATCTCTCAGCTGACAAACAGTGCCACTTTCCTTGCAAAGGCTTCTTGGAGAACGAACAATTGAGGAAACTAAAGTGAAATTGCTAAAATTGTAAGTTTATTGATGACCTTTTTTTCCTTCAAAAAGGTGTTTATTATCCACAGTCTGCATCAGGGCTCTCAAACTCCAGGAATCAGAACACCCACATTCACAGGGCTCCAGATCCATTCTCTGCTTTATGAATCAGCTCTTTCACAGCCAAGAGACTAATTCAGGATGATTTTTATGACACCAATACTTGGATCTCATTGAGAATCAATAATTCTGACATTATAATCTCGATGATTTAATAGCTTAAAGATGGATGTACGCTCACATTTGTGTTTGAAAACTGCATCTCTAACTTGATTTCATATTTACAAGGTATTTGCAAGCTGATGGATGTAGCTTCTCCTTTATGCATTTTTTCCTCCTTTCTAGAATGACAGTGCTAGAAATTGCAAGGTGGATAGTGCAGTACTATCCTGATGTTGCACTAGCTGTGACTGCACAGTTTTCAGCTAAAAGCTTACTCATGTCTGCCTTTAAAATACCTTGTAAATTAATTCCTCATTTGTGATCCTGGGATGTTTTTAGACTGAAGCCAAAGG